GAACATGCAAACTCCCCACAGGGAGGCCGGAGCTGGAATTGAACCTGGTACCTCTGCACAAGAGCTCTGAAGAGACGTCTGAAGGACAAAGAGGCCCGAATCAATTTGTATTGTGTTGTGATAAAGTGAAGAAAAGATGTCGTGGTGTTGGGTTTTATTCCACATTATAGAGAAAAAAAAAAGAACCTGTGTCCAATGGATCGGCCAGCAGCCGAATCCCCTCTGCACTAACATAATCAGCTCTGCATGGCTGACGCTGGGTAGTGGGCTTGCCTCCCTGGTAGAGTGAGTATCTGGGATGTGGTCACTTTGAGGCTCTTGGGTTTGTGGTCCTGCAGTTATCCACGGCCCAACGGCTACTCATCATGGCTGATTGCCTGGGTGCTCTGGTCTACACGTGGTGTTGGGTTCCATTTGCGTTTGGGCTTCGCCAATTCCGACCCTCCCCTTGGGGTCAACGAGGCGTCTTGTTGCTGGGGTCAGTGGCGTAACGATCAACGGCTCATTCATTCAAATCATATATAGGAAGCACAATGACTCAGTAATCTCTGAATTCTTCACACTTCTAAATGTAGTTTTTTTAACCTAGATTTGTTCCTGGATGTATTACGAGTGTGTCCGGCAAGGTTGGTATACATGTGCATTTTATTTCACAAACTCCTCACTGTGCATAGTGAATAAACAATGACTTCTCGGTCGCCATCTAGCTCCGCCCTTTATACATAATTCTTTGTCTTGGTCCTGTCACGTTTCCAACTTGTTGCGAGGCAGAATTTGTTCTGCTCAATTAATAAAACAAACCTGTCAAAACCACTTGTGTTCCCCTGGCAGTTACGGCTACACTCATCTGAAAAAACACGAGGACAGTAAGCAAAAACATAAGAATTTTGGTCAAATGGTGTGTATAAAGGAGACAGATTATTAAACAAGTTTATTTTGCAGTCACATCAATGTAGTTTTATGTCTGCAGGAGCACTGCCCTACCTGGTCTTGTTGCCGAATTACTAAGAACATAAACACAGTATAAAATTTTAAAAAATCCACTTAACTCAAGTAAACAGATGATGCATCTGAAAAATACTCTGTGCAACTTCCACCCAAGTGTTGCAATGCAAAGGATAAATGTTTGCAGATAGGCAGGTGTCTGCCGCCTTTTTCATCCTTGTGTGTTCTCTGGCTCCACCTCACTGATCTTCCGTCTGCTTCTGTTTGGACTGTGAAGGAAGAGCATAAAACTTTGATCATGCTCGAGGCTGCATGACTCACATCCACCCATTTTTAATGAGGGGGCGATCGATGTAACTTTTCATTCACAACCACAATTCCATTTGTATTTCTGTCTCAGAGTCGTCTATTTAGTCTCCTGAGTTTGTCCTGCGGTGCAACTCAAGTTGGTGGCAGGCCATTCTGATTGTGTTGCCGATTTTACACTTGAGCCCAAAACAAAGCGAAATTAGTTTGTAACCTAAGGTACAGCGAGGATGATTAGATCAGAAGGAGTTCTAATTACTCTGTTCCTGGAGAATGTGAAGGTCTCTGTAAGTGAATTCATAGATCGGTTTCTTAAATACATCCTACATGTTTGGGTATAGTTGCGGAAAACATGCAAAGTTGGAGAACTATGTAATTCTCAATCATTGTAGCATTATAAACTGTTTTTTACAGTTTCAGTTAGTAGCAGTGACTGAAATGGTGCCTAGTGCCACATTTTGGAGTCTGACATGACTTCCCCTCTCCCACCACATAAGAACAGGAATCAGCGTTATTCGTCGTAACTGCAACATGCCGTTAGCTAGCTAGCTATTCCGAACCCTGGAAAATGCATCTTTTGTTGTGATAGTGTTTGTTTGTTTATTTTGTCACAGAGTTGGGCGTGACCTGGTGTCTTTTATTATTTTATTATTACTGTATATTTTAACTGCGAATAGCTGGCAACCAGTTCAGGGTGTCCCCCACCTATTGCTGAAGACAGCTGGGAAAGGCTGCAGCACGCCCCGTGACCGTTGTGAGGACAAGCGGATCAGAAAATGGATGGATGGATGGATTATATTTTAGTACAGTATTTAACTTGCTCAGTGACACTGCCACGTCATCAGAATGTCTTGTGTTCTTCCAGGCCTTTTTGTCAGGTGCTCTACCGCTGTGTCCACCCCTGCTTGCTGTTTTTATTTTGTTTATGCCATTCACTGACTGTTGTGCAATTTTGGCTTGTATTCTTGTATATAAGACTTTTACTTTGCCACTTGTGTGTCCTGTCCAAATTCGACCTTCTCATGTCACATCCCCCCTTCTCATAGTCCGGTTTTGAGTGCCTCATTGTCGTGTGTACCTAAGTCATGACGAGAATGGCAGAAATGCCAGGAAAGGAAAAAAAGTAAAAAAAAAGAAATCCAACTTCACAAGCAGCTGGTGTGGCCACTTTAGAGTGCCTCGTTGACAGCACTGGGTATGTACATGTCAAGAGGAGATTGTCAATTGCAAGGTTCAGAATGAATGATCACATATATGGCTGCCTGATGGGATAATAGTTGGTAAGTCTGCTTCACAGTCAGAAGATCTGTTGCAACATCTCATCTCGGCTTCATAAAAACTGCAACTTTCATTAAGGGCCTTTATAGTGTCCTCCTGCATGCTGTAATTCTTTATATTCCAATATATTCATCCATCCATCCATTTTCTGATCTGCTTATCCTCACAAGGGTCGTGGGGCGTGCTGGAGCCTATCCCAGCTGTCATTGGGCAGTACGCGGGGGACAACCTGAAGTGGTCGCCAGCCAATCGCAGATTCCAATATATTCAGAAAATAAAATATTCTAGTGAGTGATCGAGCAATTTTTTTGCCAGTTTTGAAGGATGATCTTGGCAACTGTTAAGTACATGAGTGGGGTGTTCTGTATTTAGGTTGAATGCTGACTTACATCTCTGTAATTTATCAATGGTAACGCTTGATAATTTATTGTCGGTGTTCATTTAAGATGACTTTTTATGGGGCTCTTCTACACAACCAATGATTGACTCCCATTTCATGCAAAGCATTCAATGCATTTTCTGTACAACTTGTCCTCAGGCTTGTAGGTGAGGTTCGAGCCCAGAGGTCAGCAACCCAAAATGTTGAAAAAGCCATATTGGACCTCGAGGTAAGATCGGGCGCCCCGAGCCCGAGCCCAGCCCGACCCGAAATGTCAATCATTGCTTCGGGTTCGGGTCGGGTCGGGCCGGGCTTCTCTCTCTCTGACTTTTAAAAAAATAAATATATGTTTAGTGCGTTTCGAGGCCGTGAATAGTTTTGGCACGAGAGACCGTGGTTCCCAAAGAAACAGAAGTCGACTCATCACAACACGTACTGTACTAAACTCTTGTAATGACAATTCAAAGAACTCCTTCCTGTCTCTGTCTATTATCCACCCGTCATTGTTCTTCTTTGTCTCTCTACTTCTCTCTCTTAAAGTGCCGCGCTTGATTCGTAAGGACGTACTGCTGCTGTGGTTAATGGCCCAATCTTCAACCCGTCAAAATGACGGACGGCCTTAAATTTTCCCCGTCACCCCTTGAAAAAAATCCGTCAATGATGGAAAATTGTCGGTTAATGTACCTTCTACAGAAACAGAAATATGAAAGATGTAAATGTTAATACAGTCTTGTTTAACTTAGATTTCGTTACAAAAGGCAGGCTTTAATTTGTTATCATAAATCACCCCTCCTCCTCCCGAGTCCTCACAAATAAAATATGAAATTTCGGGTTTGCTTCGGGCTCGGGCCTGCAAATCAAGTTAAGTGGTCGGGCTCGGGCTGGGTCGGGCTTTAATACCCGTGGGCCAGGTCGGGTCGGGCTGGATTTTTTAGGCCCGATCTTACCTCTAATTGGACCGAGCAAAAACAAAAAACAAATATGTCTGGAGCAGCAAAAAATTAAAAGCCTCATTATGAAATCAACACATGCTGTATGTATCTATATTAGCCTACTATCAAAATGACTAAATTGGCTACAAATACACAATGAATCTTCATGATTAAATGTTTTTGTTCCCTGCAGTGCATCCTGTAGATCATGGGTCCCCAACCTTTTTTGACCAAAGATCTACTTTTCGATCAACCAGCCTCCTGAGATAGACCCGTTACCGCACGCGCGTATACACACGCATGCCATAACGAGCAACAGTCATAACGGCCCCTAAGATGATCAAGGCATGGGACGCACTTTTGCAGTGTGTTAACTATCGTAGCTCACGTATACTGTCTAAAAATGCTTCTCTCTGCCCTCCAGATTCCCATTCTTTGGCAATACCCTTGTACATGAAATGCCGTTTTTTTTTTTTAACAACAGCTACCTGCCTGGTTTCCCATCCTGCTGATAGAAACGTGTGTCGCAGGCTATGACCCAAATCTTCGTTGACAGAAATGTTGAAATCTAATATTTACTCTACACATTTTACAGCATTGGAAAACGTTAAGAATGTTTGTGTAATGTTTTTCCTCCTACAGAAACCATATTAAAACAAAAAAGCTGCTCCAGAGGCCGCAGATTGCCGACCCCAGTTCGAGCCTATGCCAGCTGACTTTGGGCGTCAGGCGGGCTACACAATAAACTAGTCACCTGTACACCACTAACACACTCACATCGACACATTTGGACAAATTACAGTCTTTGGTTAACCTAAGAGTACACTTGAGAACAGCAATGCAAGCAACGAGAATACATCAAAGGATGGATGGAATGAAAAATCAAATAGCCTGATGTTTGTTTTCATCAATGAAAATATCACCAACCAGGACTATGCGTATTTGTCCTATTCTAATAATAATAAATAATGAATTTTCATTTCAAGCCATGTTTTCTATCTGTTGAATGTAAAGTAGGATGTTTTGTGCAACATCTTGGGAAGTAACTTGTGCACATTAAAAGCTAATCAAATCAATGTAGTCAGGATTCACGTTGCATGACATCACCCCTTTAAACAAACACTTTCATTCATCCACCCCTTCCATTCGGACTTTCATGTTTGTAGATGTGACCGCCAGTAGTGGTGGTGTTGTTCTTGTTTAGTTTAGGCTTCATTTGCCCAGCAACTTTCACTGGATGACTCACCCAAGTCGTCTGTTACGCATGACAAAACTTTGTAGGGGGCGGGGGGGTGTCCAAGGGTGAGGTGGAGCAGGCGTCAAATATAAAGGTGTTTGGCGCTGACAGGCCACATCATGCTGACGATGTCGCCCACCGGCAGTCGACCCATGCAGAGCTCCAGACGGCTCAGTGGCGCGCTCTTGTGCGCACTGCTGCTGCTGCTCCTGCACTCCTGTCCTCCCGCTCAAGCCCAGTTCATGGACACCGAGTCTGAAGAGGAGCTCAGTCCCAGAGCACTTCGGGATTTTTACCCAAAAGGTCCGAACCTGACCAGTGAGAAGCAACTGGTAAGTTTTAGATTTCCCGAATGTCGCCAAAATACCGTGTGTGTGTGTGTGTGTGTGTGTGTGTGTGTGTGTGTGCGTGTGTGTGTGTGTGTGTGTGTGTGTGTGTGTGTGTGTGTGTTGTGTTTTTAATGACGTGTTTAATGACGAATGAAGTTGATTTTGAGTCATGTTGAACAAAGTGAAATTGTGCGTATATTTTAGAAACTTATTAATAAAAGTATAGATTTTTATCCCTTGCATTTTCATTCAGAAAAAAACATTTAGCACTACAGATTTTTCTGCAAATAGAACTGTTTTGTGTTTGCTGTTATTGTGTTCCGTTGCGTCGATTTTTATCCTCCACTAAAACAAGTGTCATGTCGTCGTTTGCGTGGCAGCTTGGAGCTCTCCAGGAAGTGCTTGAAAAGCTGCAGACTAAAAGACTGCCGATGTGGGAGAAGAAATTTGGACAAGTCCCGACGGTACACTTACTCTTCTGTTATCGATTTGACGTTGACTGTTGACGTGATGTTTTACTGCAAAGTGAATCTCGCTGTCCTGTGCCTCCTTCAGTGTGACATCGGGGAGCAGTGCGCGGTGAGGAAAGGAGCTCGGATCGGGAAGATGTGCGACTGTCCCCGGGGAGCTTTCTGCAACTCTTTTCTGCTCAAGTGCTTATGAGCCTGCTCGGCTTTCAATATTGTAAAATGTCGCATCAAGATAAGTAACTGTCGCTCAATTCCTTCATAACGTCATATGAAGGAGGGTGATAATTGATGAATATTATAATAATACATTTGTTTATTCTTTTTTCTCACATTCAAGTCTATAACAACATGTACTGTATGTGAAGCACAATAGAGTCACAGGTGCCCACACGGGTGAGGCAAGGAATTGTCACCTATAGACACCGACCTTCATGAACATGTGCTGTGACTGCCGATTATAAATTCTGTACAAAGTTGTGATTGAGACTATTGTTACAAAGCATTGCATACAACGGACTTGGTGGTTATGATGTTTAAGTATCACTTTCATATACTCATGTGTAGAATTGTTCCATAAAAATAAAAGTGTTGCAATCTTGTTTCTGATAAATGTGTGTGCAAGGCCTATTTATCATGACAGAAATAATAATAGGTGGATTGTGTTTTGTAAAGCGGTGCCCTTGTCACATAATCTTCGAGCAACCACGGTGTGACTTGGCAGTGATGGACAACTGTAAAGGAAGTGATCCACTAACACAGTAAACTAACCTCATCCATCTGAAGGCACCACACACTATAAATGATTGTATCAGACTTAAAATGTGTCTTTTAACCACACCATCACCATTAATATAGACATGTCTGCAAAATAACGAGACATTCAAAAGTGATCCTTGGTGGTGAGGAAGTGGTTCACTCATCTGTCTTCCAAGCAGGAAGCAGAGTGTGAATGTGAATGAGAGTGAAATTGCCTTTCCCAATACGTGGCCTGATTGACGACCGACCAATTCCAGACATGGGGCTGCCTTTCACCCAAAGTCAGCTGGCATAAGATACAACCACCTGCAAATCTAAACACACACAAAAAAACAGGACAGAAAATGGATGGATGGACGTCATAGAGGAATTTAGAGGAAATTACAAACCAAGCAAGTGGAAAACATGCATACCCCGCACAGGAGGCAAGTTTCAAACCCACAACCTCAGAACTGTGAGGCACACATGCTGACCATTAGCCCATCATAAACAGTCACCGTTGTAGTAAATAAACTGACCTGCATGTGAACACTTATGGAATATACACTAAATAATCATTTACACTGGGGGGGGGGGGCATAAGCCACTGCAAACCATAGACTGCTCCCAAGTCTGGAAAACTGCAGAGGATTGCGTCAGTAAGGGCATTAAAACAACTTAACCACTTCCTACAAATCACTTTGTTTCATTAAACATGAGATAATATGTGAACGTGGACTGCGTTTCTTAATGACTCAACTTTTCATAGACTGTGTAGACCAATAAACATTAAATCCAGTGGCTGTACCACTCCCTACATCATGAAACATGACATGTAAATGTTGACCGCACTTCTTAAATCACTCACTCAATTTATCCATCCATCCAGCCATTATCTGAACTGCTAATCGTCACAAGGATCGCCGGGACAGGTTGGGGCCGATCCCAGCTGTCTTCGGGCAGTAAGCGGGGTGCACCCCGAACTGGTCGCCAGCGAATCACAGAGCACACATAGACAAAGAACAACCATTGACACTCGCAATCACACCAAAGGACACCGTGCCACCTCAATTTATCATATAAGGTAAATAAAAACAATATGCATGTATAAAATTTAGGCTTACTCATCTTTGGGTTCAAAACATGCGGCGGAATTCGTCCTCTTAATATTTGACTGCTTGTCAACTTTGCACAGAAAAGCCCTTGGGAACTTTATTTTTGTGTTACTTTGAGTTATTTTAAATGGTGGCGGGTGTGTGCTGATTTTCATTTAACAGACATTTGATTGGAACGTGATTCTAAACACAGGCAACCACATTCCCTCTGTTGTTTATTTTTTGTTCTTTTTTCTCCAATTGAGTTGTCTTTGGGATGTGCACATCTTGGAGCTTGTCTCTTACCCAAGCGTCCTCTTTGCAACCTGTCAGCACACATCAATAATGGAGAGGAGACAAGTACAAAATGTTTGTCCTGTTTTTTTTTTCTTTTTTTGGGGGAATGGGGGGTATGTGTGTTTCTATTTGGGAAGTCCACATGGGACTAAAAGGAACTGTTTTTTTTACTCAACACACATTTGCATTAATATTTCACACAGAGCTGAAGAAAAACTACAACTTGAATCAACTTGTTTTAAGTTCCCATTTCCCACACTGAGAAAAAAAACGGGGAAAAAAACATTCTGTACGAACCCAAAATGATTTTACAAGATGTTCCTTTAAGAAGTTAAAAAAAAAGGCAAGTCATGTACAGTATGTGGCAATGATCTTATGATCTCACTCTATACATGCGCTACTGTACATTTGTCAAATGTGGACATCACTTTGTTGTCAACCCACTGAATGACTGAGTCATTAAAAATAAAGCAAACAAGCAGTGAAAAGTTCTTCACATGATTTTGGGGGAGCCTGCACAAAGGATTTTAAATGAAACAAATTCCCATCACTCTGATCATACTTTTTCATCAAGACTGCATAAACAGCTGTTAATTGGGTTCTGCCCGACCCAAATCTTGTTAATCTTGGTTTCTGCGCATCCAGACAGGGAAGATTTGTCACTGATCCCCTGAGGGAATTGCCTCCAATGGTAATGTGACAGATTTTTTTTTCCAGACCGACAGGCCGGCGGTGCTCATTTGTGTGCAATAATTTGGCAGCGACATAGATAAAGGTAAATGAGAGAAAGAGGCAGCGGGTGATTGAGAGCGTGATGGATTGAAAACAGAGACAAAACGACAGAGCCTGAAAGAGATATTGCTTCGCGCCAGGATGGATCTTTGATAGAAACATCGCGAGTTGTCAACACCAACAAAACGTGATGTGCCTGGAGCAATTTTCTTTCCTTTTCCATCCGTCCATCTTCTCGTGATTATCTTCTTCAGGCTCACAGGCAAAATGTTGCCTATCCCAGCACACTTTGCCCAAAAGGCTGGTCGCCAGTTAGTTGAGGGCATAGACGCAAACCACTCATCTATAGCGGGCTGCCCCCATCCTCCAATAATATTACATCATTAATATAGCACACATTTTCACTCTTGTATGGACGAGTCGCCAGCCAATCAGAGGGAACATATAGACCAATCATTCACAGTCACAAGTCACCGCCACAACAAGCAATTCAGACTCTACCAAAGACTGAATCTGGCAAAATAAAGTCAACAAAATAAAAATTTATGATGGCTAAAAGTGATAATACTGATTAGTTACTTTGAAAAATTAAACATTGTTTTTATGGGTTTTTTTCAATCAGACATGCAAGTTAACTTTTCGAGATTAATTTCTTTCTGTGGTGATTTTGAATTTGCCCAATTTTTTTTCTCAAGCATAAGGTTATAATGATAACCATTACTAATATTGTAATACATTTAGTAATATCGAAGAATCAAGGGTTAAGTTCAGCAACAGGTGGATGTTTTTCCTGAAACATCTTAGCTATAAATTACATTGTGTGGTAAAATCTGCATTGTGCAAGCTTTTATAGGTCAAACTTGAAAACAGAAAATGAAGATATCTCCAAAACCTGATGTGCTAGAAAAAAAGTAAAGGCATTTTTTAGATCAGTGTCAAAATCACATTTTGGGATGCATCAATTGTACTCAAGCCTTTTTTCTTCATATATTTGTTATACGAATATCAAATTTTGTCCTTGTATCAAATTACATTTTATAAGTAAAATAAAATTTGTGGTGCATCCTGCACAAATGTGTGTATATATATAAATAATATATATATATAAATAAATCCATCCATTTTCTGATCCGCTTTATCCTCACAAGGGTCGCTGGGGGTGCTGCAGCCACTCCCAGCTCTCGTCAGGCAGAAGGTGGGGGACACCCTGAACCAGTTGCCAGCCAATCTCAGGCTACACAGAGACAAACAACCATCCACGCTCACACTCATACCTAGGGACAATTTTGAGTGTTCCATTAACCTGCCACACATGTTTTTGGAAGAAGCAGGAGTACCCGGAGAAAACCCACGCAGGCACGGGGAGAACATGCAAACTCCACACAGGAAGGCCGGAGCTGGAACCGAACCCTGCACCTCTGCACTGTGAGGTCGACGCACTAAACTCTGGACCACTGGGCCGCCAGTATGAATATCACACACTGTAAGTCAAATAAAGTTGTGGTGCATCCTGCGCAAATGAGATCAAGATATATAACCATCCCCCCCACCCCCCAATCTTGCTGCTGTAGACTGCAAATTTCCCCAGTGTGGGACAAATAAAGGTGATCTTATCTTATCTTATCTTATCTTATCTTATCTTATCATCCATCCATTTTCTGATCCGCTTGTCCTCACAAGGGTCACGGGGCATGTTGCAGCCGATCCAAGG